GCCAGTATGAGCCGTTCCATCACTTTTCCGGGGACGGAGGTGAGGCTGACTGGCCTGTAGTTGCCTGGGTCCTCCTTCTTGCCTTTTTTGAAGACTGGCGTGACATTGGCGTTCTTCCAGTCTTCCGGCACCTCCCCTGTTCTCCATGATCTTTCAAAGATGATGGAGAGCGGCTTAGCTATCACATCCGCCAGCTCCCGCAGCACTCTGGGGTGCATCCCATCAGGGCCCATGGATTTGTGGGTATCGAGGTTCCTTAGGTGCCCTCTGACCCAATCTTCTTCTACCCAGTGCAAGTCTTCCTCTCCACCAGCTTCTTCTCTTGTCCCTAGGGCCTGGGACTCTAAAGGGCTGCCCTTGGTAAACACCGAAGCAAAGAAGGCATTGAGCAACTCTGCTTTTTCTGTGTTATTTGTAACCAGGGTGCCCATCCCGTTCACCAGTGGACCCACGTTTGCCCTGATCTTCCTTTTTGCTGTTAATATACGTGAAGAAGTTTTTCTTGTGATTTTTAACATCCCTTTCCAGACTGCGTTCCAGACCTGCCTTAGCTTTCCTTGCCGCATCTCTGCATTCCCTGACTACGTTCCTGTATTTCTCCCAGGGGGCCTGTCTTTTTTTTCCACATTCTGTACACCGCCTTCTTGTGCTTGAGCATTGCCACAAGCTCCTTGCTCATCCACGTAGGTCTCCTGCCCCCTCTGCCTGACTTCTTACACACAGGGATGCACTGTTGCTGGGCGTGGGGGAAGGGCTGCTTGAATACTGACCAGCTCTCTTGGGTCCCCCTTCCTTCTAGAGCTCTAGCCCATGGGATTCTTCCGAGGAGGTCTCTGAAGAGGCTAAAGTTGGCCCTCCTGAAGTCCGTAACACAGCTGAAGTCTCAAACAGCTTGCGAAGCAAAGGAACCAGCGAGGTTGGTGGTTGGGAGTTCTCTTTGGAAAGACATCTACCACTGAAAACTAAATCTCTGGGAGACTAAAGATCTGGGTTGTTGAGAAAGAACACAGCACTAAAGGGCCATAAAAACTCATTTCTTCCAGTCACATCACTCAATAGGACCCATCCACACCTCCACTAGTGATGGGATCACAAACAGTTTAAACTGAAAGAGATCCCTGAAGGGCACCTGACTACTGGACATTCAGCTCAAAAGAATTTACCCACAAAAGACTTTAGAAGCCAAATCAAGCAGTAGCTTAGGCACATATCATTACCAAGAATGATTTCAACAAGTTGCTAATCTTTTCTAGGCAGATTAGCACTTTTTCACCAAGGATCACGTTCTAGTACTATTAAGCAATTTCATTCATATGCCAAAGTCACCAATCCATTCCATACCCTACACTCACAATTCAAAGGACTTACCTCGCGGACTTCCTCATCCTCTTCTTCAGCATTCTTTCTTCTACTCTCCCTAAATTTTCGCACCTGAATTAAAAAAAAAAAGTCTCATGAAAGTAGTAGTTTATTTCATACGCGTCTCAACCACTGAAAGTGAGAAGTCTTGTTCTCTGAAATATTAATTGAAGCTCAATTGACTTGCTGCTGGAGATGTAAATAAAGCACCTTCACTGCAGATTTGTTCTGAATGGAAGCAGAATGATAACTATTCTGAAAAGCAAGTTTTGAAGAGAACAGAGCAACAGCTCCATTCCCAAGTGGAGTGTAAGCTCCTACTTCGGGAGACACAGAAAGGACCTAAATACTCTGCCATTAAAAGGTCAAGTGAAAGTAGTACAAAGTAACTTGAATTAAGATTCTGGACCAAAGCAAATGCAAAGGTATAGAGCACACACAGACTCAAAAGTCATAATACTTGCTAAGAAGTTAAAATTCTGTCCTCCCCAATCCTCAAGAAGCTTCTCAAGCAGGACAACTGAAGTGCAGTAATAGTTGAACATTTTGTCAATAGCCTTTTTTTCCTGCTTCCTTTCCATAACTACACTATAGGCTGTTTAAGAATCTTGCATGTTAATTGTTAGCTCTCTTGTCACTACCTCACTGAGGGGGAAGAATGATGAAATAGATAATTACGTGATGAAAAGTAGGAGACTCTTTTCAAGAGGAGCAGAATATAGGTAATTAAGCAATAACAGATAATGAAATACCAATAAGTAGAAAAGAGGGGGTTGAGATGTAGAAGCAAATCAGAAGGAAATTAAATTGTGAGGAGACAGAGATTGCAATGTATGTAAGACTAAAAAAGTTCAGCTTATCAAGTACAGGAAAAGATATGACAAGGAAAGATGATATTAGTCCAAAAGAGGAAAAAAAAAAAAACACCAATGTGGCACAGAAAAACTTGAAGGCACTGATTATTCATGGCTTCTTTCAACCTCTCAAGAGTTAAAACAAGAAGCAAGAAGACGCAACCTTCTCCCCCACCCCACCACACCCAAGGGGTCCTTTACATGGCACGCGGTTGAGCTGCAGATCTCCTTGTTACACTGTGCTTTACACAGGTTCAAGTGGAAGCTCAAGAAAGTGATGAGGAAGCCTATGAAGGGTGAGCAGACACACAGAAAGGAGCTTTGGCGGCAGACAATCTCAAGGTGCAAGCAGCTGGGAGGTAGCAGATCACCTGAGAGACAGTGCCCTGTCCATGTGCTCTTTCCTAAGCCACGATGGAAAAGCTAAGGACAGATTAATCTTTTAAGCACATGAAGCTGGAGACTGCACGCTGGTCTTGAGAGCGCTTTGGTCTATCGCAGTACGACATGCCCTTAGATGCCAAAGCTAACACTTTCAAGACGTGTGTTCTAACAGTAACACATGAACATATCATATGCTTATATCATCATTTTACACAATTCTATCTACTGCAAGAAAGGTACTAGTTACCTAGATGATATATTTTGTCATTTAGACTCAAGTCCTTCAGGGAAAGATTAGAGTGAATGGGTCTTTGTATCTAAGATAACTTAGTGTAATAGCCAGCAAACAAATTCTATGTATTCATATACACAGTTTTAATTCAAGCTTTTAAATATCTATTTAAACTTCATCACCAACACATTAGCTCCAGAATAAAAGTAACTGACCACAAACAAGACCCACTTTCCTGCTAGGCATAGCCCTTAAAGCAGTTTTGAATACTAATGTTTCTATTGTCTGGGTAGGCCTCTTCTAAAGAATTAAGATTTATACTGTATCCTACCTCCTCATCTATTTTTTCTTCTTCTGCATCAGTGCGACGCTCCTTAAGAAACCTCTGTGTTTTTTCCAGTTGAAATTTCACCAACTCTTCTATGGCATCTTTTTCTTCTTTGTCCACAAACTCCTGCACTGCTTCTCCCATTCCTCTTTCAGTTAGAAGTGAAAGCTGCACTTTCTTTATAAAAGGAAAAATATATATATATATTGTTGAGAAACATCTACCATTAGAATAAACAGGTAGTATTCCTACCGTTTCTGATAAATATTACATTAAGTTGGTTCAAGAAAACTTGAACCAACTATGAACTGAAGATTTCGATCAAAGAATAGCACAGAAAAAAAAAACAAACAGGTAGTTGTTTATAGTATAGTTACAAACGTCCTGCTAATAGCATGTTACACTTAATGTTTTCCAGGTTAGTCACAGAAAAATATTTCATGAAAAGTGAAGAAATTACAATCCTCATGAATTACAATTTACATATGTAAAATAATTTGCTTTGAAGGTATTACTGAAGAAGGCGAGAAGGTAAGCTATGTTCTTTTCTACTCTCCTCTTTTTTTTTAAACTAAAGAAAGATTAACTTGCAAAAAAAGATCCTTAAAAACAGACACTGAATTATTAATAATGGAATACAGAGAAAAGACAAGTTACTTGAAATTATTGTCAAGTTCTAATATCAAAAAGTAGCTGTTTCAGAACTGTGCAAACTTGTATTTTGAAGCATGAAGATTTATTGAGCAGAAATCTGCTCTACTGAGATGTAGCTCTGGAAGCACCTGTAGTTTTTATTCATTCATCTAGGTATTACTATGGATGCCGGTTAGTCAAAGCAGTAGATGCTACAAGTGCTGTTTCACTGCCATTCCCTCTTCTCTCCTCTGCCCTCCTTCCCCAGCACATTAAGGGGAGAGATATGCGGATACTCCTGCTCGAGCTGCATTCTGGTTTGTTTGTAAACTACATTACAGATAAGTTTTTGGCAATAAGTAGTACATATGCTTATTAAATACTTCTGATCCTTCTAGGTGCCTCCTAGGAACTGTTTTGTGAGCTACATCAGGAGATGAGCCTTCCCTGATAAAAAATGCTCAGTGGAAGAACAAATTCTAATTATCACAAAAACAAGAATTTAACAAAAAATAATAAAATGACCACCTAAATAAGCACTTTTTCTTTGTCTTATTCCCTCCATTTTAAATATAACGTGGAACTACAGTACGCCTGATGGCACAACTGTAAGCAAAGTTCTGCAAGGTAACAGGTTACTTCAAGTCAGCTAATAATAAAAACTGCTACAGCCACACACTGCTCCTAGCTAAATTACAGTTGCTTCTCTCTCAGAGAATGCTGAATTTTCCTCTGGTAAGGCCATGACATATAATTTAATACAGGGCAGATCCTGCAAGCTCATACGAAGAGATTTTAAGAGCCAAAACAGCACAAATTCACATACTCTACACACAGTACCTACTTGTTACCCTGTCAGACATGTGCTTTATAAAGGAATACAGATACATTTAGAAAGGAAATTGGTTGGGGTGTATGTCCAGGCCACGCTGCTTTCAGGCCATGCTGCTTTCATTAATAAAGTAATATGTTCAAAGATGATGAAAACACTATATAGCAGAAACATACTCATAAAAGATATAAAGGTACCTTCTCTGCTGTCTGGAAGTACTGCTTTACAAGGTCCTCCACTCTCAGTGTCATCCCTTCAGAAGGTCTCCTAACCAGTTTTCCAAAATTAAGATCACTCTCTAGGACAGAAAAGCATATTTGCATTATCATTGACTGTTCAAAAGCTGTTCAAGAGCAGCTTTTAGTCAGCATCACCCTCCAACAATCATAGGCAAAATGGTTAATGCAGGATAGATGAGATAGATTAACACAATAAAATTCTTCAAACTCTAAGGTATCTAGATTTAGAAACAGAACACTATGTCTTGAAGGTTATTAAAGCTGAACTCTAACAGACCACAACTGGGAGAAAATTAAGGGACCCATCCAACCAGAGGAATTTTACATGTGTAACTCTTGTTATAGTTTCTTTTGAAGCATGCTTATTGATTTAGGAGAGGAGAGGTTCATAGTTCACTGAGGTTGCCCCCACCCTCCAGGCACGGAGAATGGTGATAATCAATTGGAGGTGCTGTTTACCATGCAAAATAATATAAAAGGACCAGGCTGTGTCTAGACACTTGTTACATGCAAACATAAAACAGAATATTTTGTTAGCTCTGTTTTTTTAATGACAAAAGAAACAGCAAAACCTTCTGGACTACTAAAAAAAGTTGTAGCATCTTCCTGTACCAAGTCACAGTGTTAGGCAAACATTCAAGGAATGGTGATTGCTTTACTAGTTATCTAGCTTGTATTATAAAGGTGAACACAAGGTGAGATACAGAAAATAGACAAATGAAAATGCATTGACCAACAAAACAAGATGTGTGATGGCTACCCACACTCTGAACATGTTAAGAAAACTATGTAGAGGTTAAAAAAGAGAAACCCATAAAATAGAGAGTAATACAACAAAAAATTAAAACTGCTAAAGCTTCACTAAAAATGCAGTTTTTGTTTACAGTATGCAATGTTTTGAGCTTCACAGAAGTGTCAGTTTAAGCAAAACTGCCAATGTAACTGGAGTACATAAACTGCACTAATGTGCCATATTAATAGTTCCTCTGTGTGTTCTCACCAAGCTGCATATGCATTAGTAACTCCTGATCCAGCACTAGGGCAAAGCTGTCAATGTTCATTAAACATTTCTTTAAAATTCTAGGCATAGGGAGAGGTATTATAGCATCTACTATTTATTTTGTAGAAAAAGCAAGCTAAAAGGCATCTCATACCCATGATTAATTAGGGCAAACAAAACGCTGCTGCATATTGGAGCTGTCTATCTTTTAATGAAAAGGTCACTGAGGCACATTCCCTTTACTGTTATTTTTGGCATAAACTAATTATTTACTAAACCAATAAAAATGAAAAAAAAAGAAAAGAAGTGGAGGGGAAGAGCACAAGACTTCTTTTTTTCTTATAGGGTGCCCTAAAGTCAACCATGTCATGCTGAAAATCCCCGAAATGGGGTGTTTAATGCCCTTCATGTTACTTATAGAATCACAGAATAATTCAGTTAGGAAGAGACTTCTGCCTATCGGGGGCTATAGGCAGTACTGTAAACAACTCACTAAGATTTGGGAGGGAAAAAAGGGAATTATTTATGAACAACTGTCAGAAGGCGGTGCACCAAATATGAAAAATTAAGCCTAACCCAAGAAACAGAAGAGGATTCCGTGTGCAATATTTATACTTGAGTCAAGTTACATCTCTATTCTTCTTACAAGAAATAAGGTGGCAGACACAAAGCTTTTTTAAATGTGTTTTTCTTAAACAAACAAAAATTCCAAAAATATGAAATGGGGGGAAATTAAAAGTCAAGGAAAGTCAGTGGTTCTTTCCTTCCTAATTACCGTTCTTCTCTTTTTGTTCACGATGCCTGAAAAAGTGTATGATGTCTTTCGGGTTAGCTATCCTATCCACATACTTCTGGCTAAAACGATGGACGCTGAACGGTTCAAAGCCTCCCGTATAATCAACCTGAGAGAGGAAAGAAAAATAATAAAGATGAAAAAACCAGAGAAGTCACAGAGACCAAGAATTTTTTTTTCACCCTTCAAAGGCAAAATTTATGTAAATATATATATATATACACATATAAGAATTAATGCTTTACCATACTATGTAGAATAGCTAGTCAAATCCCCGATTCCCAACCTCTTGCCAGCTAGTTTCCTTTCCTAGCCTTTACAGATGTTATGAACAAACACAACAATATGACAAAAAACAAGTAAACAAAAAGCACCACTCTGCAAATAACCATTTGATCAGATCAACCCTCAATCAGAAAGGTAGCAGTGAAAGACACTTACGATCTCATCTTTTACTATAAAATATTAGTTACAAAACAGGCTAACCTGCCTGTGGGATAAAGACTGTATATTTGCTTGTAAACAGTATGAGATTGTACATATTATAATTTTAAGCATACAGCATGACTTTACTTAAACATGCCACAGTAACTTTTTGGAACAAATCAACCCACACTGAACACTGTCTTACTCGTAATCTTATAAGAGGCTTCTCTGGTTGGCGTGGATTTCCCAGACGATCCCTTTCTGCGTTATCCAGCATCATTTCAACCTACGAAACCAAACAAAGTCTTCATTTTTATTTTATTCTTTTGAAGATGTCTGAATCCTTCAAATATAACTTAAAAATATATCCAGTATAGATCAAATAAATCCAATTCAAAATTAGGCTTGAGAGTGAAGCGAGGAGCAAGGCTATAAAAATAAAGAACTACATAACAGGCCTTGAATCCTGTACACACCTACCTATAAAGATACAGCCAAAAGCCATAGGAATGGGGGAAGAAACCCCACAACAAAAGGTTTATCTTTCAGACAGTTAGCCCAGCAGTACCTACACCAGTGATCATTCATACTCTCTTATTTTACAGCATTTTAGCTGAACCAGTGGTTCTTCAGAAAAGCAACAGGATACTAATCCAGACCCAAAGAACCAAGAGCAGCCCGAACGCTGCTCTAGTCACCTAGGCCATGGCACCCTGCACACTCTGGCTAGCAGGATTTTGCTGGGTGTCTTTGTGCTGGTTCCAGACAACGTGGGCCCTGCTGCCCCACGCTCAGGTGGGGTTACACAGCCCACCTCAGGAGGTCAGCACTGCCACCAAGGCTGCAAGGAACAGCACAAAATTGGGTTCCTATGGAAACACAGCCTCGGTCAAACTCAGATCCACAGGGCAAGAAATAAGATTTCTATCTTCTAATTTTAAACTAGCCACAGAACATTCCTACCCATATGCTGAGAGCACAGTAATTACCTTCTCCATGCAGAATGCTTGTATTGCCTGAGTTACTTTAGGATTGTCTGGATTAAAAAGATCCGGATAATCAGCTAGAACAACATCCTCCATGTGGAAACTTCGCACTGTCTCTAGAGGAATCTTCTCCATTTTCATACTCTTCCCTTTAACATGCAATAAACCAATGTGTCTGCAAAGAGAAGCATAACTTACTATAAGAAAAAACTAACTAAATTAAGGTACAAAAAAGTTTGTTCTAGGTTCATGTCTGTTTCACAGAGACAAAAATATAAAAGCTGTAGGAAGGCCTCAAATCTGTATTTAATGGTTGACTCCCAAACTATTCTAAAAGTTATATTGTGCTTGTTCCACATACTGGCACATATAAACAGCCTCTCATAGTTCAAGGATGAGCCCAACTCATGGATGAGCTGGGCTGAATTTATGTGAAATATTAGATGTAATCCCAAGTATATCCTAAGCAAAGTTGCTATAGACTCCTATTCTGCTTCAGTTATTCAGTTACATTCTGAAGGTACATACTTTGTAGAAGTATTTTTCTTGGCTATGTAAATGTCCTTACCAAAACAATACAGAAAAGAAACATGGCAAGACATAAACGGGAGCAAAATCAGCCAACAAAAAGAAATTACCCACTTCTTCACAGCTTCTCCAGGGGACAGAGATGTCACCACTGAACTTCCAGGCTGAGAAACATAGAAACGCTGCTGTTCATTTTGGGTGGGAGCTATTTTACACTCATGTTCATGACCCCATATAACAAGATGAAGAAAGTCATCTAAAAATTGTTCTGGAATGTAGTTGGTGGGTCCATGTTTGCTCCTGTTCAAAAGAAGAGAAAAATAACGAGAATACGTATAATCATGGGGGTGGGGGAGGAAGGGATGGAGTATAATCACAACATAAATCATGTAAGCATGATGTAAAGTGATACGGACATCCCAGTAAGGATATTTGACATTTCACATCAAGTACTCTTTATTTCCCATGCAAGTATGAATTATTAAAGTGTTTGATTAACAAAAAGGCAATGTATCCTGATTCAAGTCAGAAAAATATTCAACTTACACAGGGAGTTTTCCTTAGCATTTTTCTATTCTAAATGGAGGTTTTTCTACCTCCAGCCTTTCATTTGGATCTCCTTCCTTCCTCCTTTGCATGATCTTCAGTTTTTCTCTGTATGAATGGCTTATAGCACCTCAACTTTTTCTCCTTCTCTTTGGTTAAAACCAGTGAGGTCAAAAAGGCCAATTTAAAAAGACATAAGACAGCCTCCATGGCCCCCTCCTTTTCATCTTTATTATTTCATAACTAGCAGGTAGCTCTCCTAACATAGGAAAAGAGAAAGTCCTTCAGATTACTGGGCAGGGAGCAGCACACGGTGCTTTCTCAGCCATTCTGCCTCACCATCACCTCTCACACAAGGGCTGCACTCTTATTCATTCAGGAAAAGCTGTATGAAAGAACATGGAGGGCCAAATTGCACAAAAGGTTGTAAAACTCCACCAATCTTTTAGGAACTGTGAACTGTGAAGGGCAAATACAGATTTGCTACTTGTCAAATTATAGCTCAAACTAACACAGCAAACTCCATGTAACTGCATCCACAGCTGGCTTTCTTTTCACCTCCAACATGTAGACTAAAAAATTAGTTTTATTCCTTTTATAATACAAATCTGGCCTTAACTTCAAATACGAAGGTCAAGGCAGCAATTTTCCAACATCCGTAACTGCTTTACGATCATTTTATAGCAAGAACCGCTGTAAAATAATGGTTTTATTTTGGGGGAAAAAATCCGAAATAGGCTATTGGGGGAAAAAAAAAAAAAAAAAAAAAAAAACTGAGCAACTCAATGGTACAAGTAGCATTCAGCATATCTGGCTCTCTTTCAGATTCTTTTAAAGGCAGTTTAATGAAACAATACAGTGAACTTAAAAGTCATTGTAATTCAAGCAATATTGCTACCTATTTTGGTGAATCACAAACAAGTTAAACCAACTATCCTCCTCTTCCTTTGGTCTCAGCATGGTTACTTGTTTATTGACAAACATACGATACAATCTCTCATCTGGAATGGCTCCTAGAGTAAATAAAAATAAAATACAGAGTGTTAAATTATTTTTATTTGGTAAAGCAACTTTTCATTTTATAGCATCTTGACTAGCAACTGTATTAATTAGAGCATAGATAACAAAACCTTGTGGCAAAACGAGATCAATAAGTCAGGTATGCAATTATTAATTTGAGCAGATCAAAGTTTAAATCAGTTATTTTACTAGATAGAATGTCATCTTTTTTAGTGGCCTAAGATGATATCTTCCTTAAATAACTGCCAGAAGCATTTGCATTAACTACTTCTACTTCGAGACTTCTCACCATCTTCTGTGCAGAACAACTGAATATGCACTTTTTGTTTCTAATTTACAGAGTAAAAAGGATACTTTGTTGCACATATGATTCTAAAAAGATACAACCAACTAGACACAGTGATCTCAAACTCACTTTGAAATTCTCTTACAAAATAAAAAATAAACCATGATTTGTGAGAAGCCTGTGCTTTACTGCACAACATGCAACTGTCCGTTTCCCCCCCCTTTTTTTTTTTTTTTTTTTTAAACAAGGCGGGTAGAACAAACAAATTCCCACCTAGGGAATTTGCACACTCAGCTTTTACAATGCACTTCCATAACATCCTGCACAGAGCTTACACTGCTTGGACAAAAACAAATGCTCTCTAAATCAGAGAAGATCAGGAAGATCCACAATCCTGTCAAAAGCTCAAAAAATATTTTGTGAATGTACACTTAGATGCATCTTTTAAGCAAGTTGTTACATTTCCCGGTAGCAGTTCTCAGCGTTAGAGTTCAGATGCTTTTCAATACTTTATACTGTGATAGTAGAATTAGAAGGCAGGTCAGACCTTAAATTTCTGCTCAGACAGTTTAGGCTTTCAAAAAGAAAGAAACAAACAAACAAACTCAAAAAACAGCACATAAATATTCAGTATTAAAGTTTTACCTGGAAAGAAGAGAGTAAGTGTAATACAAAGAAAGTGAGAAATTAAAGAGTGTAATTGGCTTGACTCAATGAACAGGCACTGTGGCTAACTTAAACAGCGTCCACTTAAGACTATAAGGACAGAAATACAGTTATTAAAGGATTTATAAGAACAAAGCTCTGTGGCTGACAGTGAAATTGCAGCAAAGGGGAAGAGCTGACATTTCTCAGACCATCCAAATTGACAAGAGACACCAAATATTTGGGGACCTGCAAAAATGAAGGCAGATATCTAATTAACACAACAGCCCTGTTGCAAAGTCACGAAATAAAGGCAGAGCCAGGGCATGTACTTCTCTGAACAAGAACACTCACATAGAATTGATGAGCTTAAATTCAGTATTAACTGACACACTTAACTTCAGCATTATTTAGATGACGTCTGTATTTACTGCAGCACTGTATTTGTTCCACTTTCATTTGGACCTACTGAACTTCAGCAACATGAAATGAGTCTAACCTCATTGCAGCAGTGACACTTACCTAGGCCATAGAGTGCAATTTTTGTTCTGCCTTTACGCAATAAAATGGGGCTAATATCTATTTTCTCTACAGAAGATGAACGTCCAAAGTGGTTCAGCAACCCTGCACAGCTTAAAATATCCAATGCACACAGTGCATCTACCTATAGAAAATAGTAAGAAACAAATATAAGCCTTCAACAGAACATTTATAGAGACTGTAAAATACTACAAAAATATTCTCAAATACTACAAAAAAAGAACCTAGTTAAATTAACTACTTAGCAGTAGCTCCAAAGTTAAACGTTCATTGTTAAAACACTCCTCTCTATGATATGCTGGTAATATTAGTAACTATTAGATACCACATGCATAACTAGTGATGCAGAACATACATATTTTTCCTGATTATTTCTAGTTGCTGACTTTCAAATAATTCCTTGATCCTAATTAAGTTAGCTTCCTTGAAAATATACAGTCATTTAATGGAAGAAATGAAACTATGATATGCACTACCTAGGAACAAATCAACAAGTTACTTTCCTTAAAAAAAGACTTACAGTCTATAAACCTATAAACGTAACTTCTTTTAGAAACCATATGGAGGTCTACCTTTTTTGACATAAGAATGGCATTCTAAATGACAGAATTCTGTGCAAATTAAATTAATTGTAGTAAATTAAATGTAGCCCATACAGACCCCTTAATTTCCCTCCTTCCTTTTGTTTTTTAAGGTCACATTCAAGGCGTGGCCACTAAGAGAGCTCTTGAAAACTTACAGAAAGATTAAGTGAAGAGTGAAACAGACTGCAGGTAGTCTGTTTTCAAAGAACAAAGTCTGTATTTTTATAACAATATTCATGTAATATTTCAATATGGTACAACTGTGATAATTACCCCCGTGGGATCATCATGATTGCCATGAATACTAAAAATCGGAATAGAAATGTTGAGATTTCCATCCTGATAGTTCACCCATGGAAACCTGATCAGGAAGGAGGAAAGAAATTAATTTTTTATCCACACATTTGTTTACAAACAATTGCCAATATTCTCTTCTAATCAGTATCATAAATACATCATGAGAGGGGCATAAATGAATACTAAATGCTTACAAGTATAAGCTGCACAGTGTAAGACTATTCTTATCCACAGTCTGGAATGGAGCGTCCCACTAACAGTAGGGTAAAAGAGAGAGGTTTTCTTTTTTTTTTTTTGGACACAATTATGGGAAAAAATGTGAAACACACTGTGGTATGCGCAAGAACAGACTGCACTGTGCAATCTTTGTTTACGCACACAGAACTCCACTGATTTTAACACAGCATTTCACATATTTTTTTTTCATATCATACTGACAGGGTGGAACCTAAGTACAAAGGGTTATAACCCATTTAGAAGTCTGTCAAAAAATCATGCATAGCCATTTATGGACTTAGATCATAAAAGATCACGGATAAGATGATGCTACAAACAGTCCCACACAGGCCTAAAACGTTAAGATTCTATTCAGAGAGATTGAAATAATAAATCCACAAAACATGAACCCATAAGCAAGGCTAATAAGTCCCACCAAAATTTACAGAAAAATACTTACTTGCTAAAATGAAAATTAACTGCTTGATCACTCAAAATTTCAAAGTGAACAGGACGATCACCCATGCAGTATTTCCTTAGTGACTCTAGACAGCAGTGTACTGTTCTTCTGGAAGGTTTGTTTTCATGAAAAAGGTCCCCACCTAATAAAACAAAGTCCACCTGCATGCAACAAGAAGCTCCATTATTTTAATACAGCATTTTGTATTTCCTTAAAAAGACTTGCTAACAAATGGTTTACGTTACGTCTTTTAAGGAGCCCCACCTTTCTCATCATACCTGACTTACAGGTAAAACAATAGTTCATAGCTGCAGATATTCTGCACCTTTTTTTTTAACGAAATAAACAAATTAAAAGGGCAGAGCAGCAAAGTTTTTTTTTTTAATGAAGTGTCTTAATAATGGTCCCAAATTAGTTCCTGAATATTTTACTTGACAGTCAAGAGGAGATGCATATCCTTGCATTGCTGTGATACTAGTTAGAGGATATCAGTACCTATATCTACATTACTTTGAGTGGATATTAGTTTTATTTTCTGAATAAACTTAGTTTCAGAAACAGGCATGAAAAGTGCATGAAGACTACGGGAAATTGTGCATTTCACTAAAACACACGCAATTCTTAAGAACAGTGAAAACACTGGAAAATTTTTTAATTGATTGAAAATTAATTTAATCGATTCCCGTTTTCTGAGGTGTCTGAAGACTTTTATTGTTACCCTCACTCTTCCCTATTATTTTCCCTTCCCCTGGAACTGGAGATGACATGCTAAAAATCACTGTTATCATTACCAAAATTTTAATTTAAAATCACTCTCAAGAGAATAAGTATTTCTTTTTTACTAACGTAAATGTAACTGGCTGCAATAAATAACTAAATTTAGTTTGTTATTACTAAGGTTGCACCAGGACTAGCACATTCTAGTGGGCTCTAATGGACTTTTTATGATCTCACTGCTTTATTTTCCAAAAAGTACTACTTACTTCATTTTTCTGAGCTTGCTCCAAGATCTCATTAAAAGTTACAAAGGTATCATTTCCACGTACTGGGTCCTTCTCCAAATACCCAAGATGGATATCAGTTGCAATTAGTATTTTAAAAGCATCCTCGTCATCCCTGAGTAAAAAAGCAAAGTTGGTGTTAGAGAACGAAACACTTCAGAATTCCAGCACAGAACTGATTTAGATAAGCTGTTTCCATCTGAAGTCATTAAACACACAGAAGTATTTGTTAAAAAATGTCTGCACAATCTTCTTTCCCGTAATGCTTTCAAAATGCTTCAAGTGTAAACACTACTTTGAAAGAATTAACAAGAAAAATTAGAAAATCCTTGATGTTTTCTGTCTCTAATAAGATTAGGAGCAATGACTCGAGCCCTCTGCTTGCACTGCAACACACGCACACAGAGGAAGGTGGGATGAGTGAAAGGACTCGGAAGAGAACCCGGGTGCGAACGTGAGCTCCTCTTAAGAGGACACGCGAAAGGCCCGAAGCTCCACGCCAGCGCACGGAGCCCCCGGCACTTACTGCGAGCTGGCGACGCTCATCTTCCTGCCAGGGCTCCTCGCAGGGGCTCCTGCCACTGCGCCTTAGCGGGTCAGGCCGGGGAGCGCGCGGCGAGCTTCACCGATGCTGGAGAGTGCCCGGAGAGAGAGCGTGAACGGATTATTTAAATAGTGTTTTAATAGTACGGGTAGAGTAAGTACTCCTTAAAAAATGAATAAATAACGATTAGAAAAGAGAACAGAAACCAAGCTCGCCTGGAGAAACTGAACAGAAACCAAGCTCGGCTGCAGAAAGTGAGCTCAGCCGCGGGCGCGGTGCAGAGCCCGCCCCCACACGAGGCCCCAACGGCCGCCACGCGCAGCCGCCCCCTAACGCGGACCCGGGCCCGTCCCTCACCCGCCGGCTGCTCCCGCGCGGCGTTTCCATGACACCCAGGAGGGCGGCGGGAACCGCGCGGGACTCTCGCGAGAGCCGCTCAGCTCAAAGCGCGCGGGCGCCCTCCCGCCCGCCTGGGCGCGGAGCGGCGCTGTGATTGGGCGGCGGGGACAGGGCCCTGCCCCGTAGCTGCTGCGTCATTTCCGCCGGGCGCAGGCGGCAGCGCCGCTGTGTGGGAGGTAGGTCTGTGTGAGGGGGAAACCTGGGAAAATCAGCGTTGGCGATATCCAGGAGGAGAAAAGACGGGGGCTTCTCGAGCCTTGCTGTTCAACAGGGGAAAAATCGAGAGCAGCTTTGCGTTTAAGAGGGAAAAATGTGAAATGATGCAGAAAGAATTGTGATAGCAGCAGAAGAGGGGGGAAATCAATATTGTATGTCTGGTTGCTCCAGGTGCTAGCCAAAAATGAGCGCGAGCCAGCGTGTGGATGAGGAGGATGAGAGCGAGCAGTTATCGGACTTCACGGAGAGCTTTAACCAGCTGGAACTGCTGGAAACGCACCGGCACCTGATTCCTGTGGGGACTCAGAGCTGTTGGTCGGGACAGTCGGAAGATGAGGAAGACGAACAAGAAAAGAGTGAGGAATGGTATGAAATGCAAGAAAAAAAGATGGAAAAAAATCCGGAGAAACTGCTCCTGTGGGCAGCTGAAAACAACCGGGTAAGGCACTCGTTTGCTTCCTAGGTATCACTGACAGCAATGCTATTTTGAATAGATAGCTGTAATTTATTTCATGAACAAAAACCTTACGTGTACATTTTTTTTTAAACTGTGAAAACATGCAAGATTCTTCCTTTACGCAGGGTCTTTTAATTGGAGTTAAAAAAGGTGTATCTGATCGATCTTTATATTATCTGAAGCTGCATATCCAGAGAAGTTAATGACTGAGTGGCTATTTTTCTATCTTTTTGGTGCAAAAAGGCTTTTGTTTTTTCTCCTCTGCTTAAAGGTGGATGAGAAGACCAAAATTCCTGTTATTATATCCTTATATACATTTCTTTTCGTTGGTTTTCTTAGACAAAATCCAGTTGCAATATGGAGATTGGAGATATTAACCTCTCTAGAAGGTTCAAGGCCAAGGCACTCCAAAGGCACTATAAATAAACTTTAAAACTACTCAGTGGAGGGTATGGCTGTGTATTTTTGTGCCAGACAGATGAAGCTTTATCTCTGAAAGAACAAATGATCCCCCCCCCCTCCAAAAAAAAAAAAAGCTTTAACTTTTAAATTTCATGCTGCACATATTAGAGACTAGTATAAACTTACTTTTTTTGCAGTTTTTTTTTTTTCATATAAAGCATGTAACAGTAGGAGCCATATACTTCACTTGCAGACTTGCAGAGTTTCATGTTGAATTATGTTCTCCTTGCATAGCTGAGTACAGTGCGAAGGCTTCTTTCCCAAAAGCTGGCTCCAGTTAACGCTCGTGACGAAGACCAATACACTCCTCTCCATCGAGCTGCCTACAGCGGCCACTTGGACGTTGCCCACGAGCTGGTGGCCCAAGGGGCGGATGTTCACGCGCAGACCGTGGACGGCTGGACCCCCCTGCACAGCGCTTGCAAGTGGAACAACACGAAAGTGGCCTCGTTCCTGCTGCAGCAGGGCGCAGACATCAACGCGCAGACGAACGGGCTGCTCACGCCCTTGCATATTGCTGCAGGAAACAAGAACAGCAGAGATATCCTGCTGCTTTTGCTGATGAATCGCTATGTGAAACCAGACCTGAAAAACAGCTTGGATGAAACTGCCCTTGACATTGCTAGGAGGACTGATGTCTATCACTACCTTTTTGAGATAGCCGATGACTGCATAAATTGTGTGTTAAAATTTTGAAACAATTGCTTTCTGAAGGCAGAGGGGGTTGGTTGGTTGATTTATTTTTTCTTCTGATCAGGGTAGATTAGAAGAACAGCGGCAGAAATTCACCAATGCTGTTAGCCCAGCATGTGATATAAAGCAGCGTATGAGAATTGGGCAGCAAAGGTTTTCGCATAAGGGCGAGCTCCGAGCTTCAGCTTTCTCATCTACAATTCACAACCGGAGAAACTTGCTTCTATTTATAGATCAACTGGAGCTGAAAAGTGAATACAAGATTTGAAATACTGTCACTGACTACTACGAATTATAGCAAAACGTTTTGTTGGCCTGTGCAGCCACCTTACTATGTGATTCCTCCCAAGCTCCTTCTGGATGCTGCTAGCACAGACTTGATGCACACTTTTGAAATATGCATTGTGTAAGATTGCTTTTTAATGCTCTGTGTTTTGGAAGTTTGGTTTCTGGATATCTGCAGAAAATGAATTACTCAAAAATGAATGTTGTATGGCCCTTCCCCTTTCCATTTGTAATTGTTTTAAGCTTTAGTAATAGCTTTATAAGCTTTAGACTCTGAACAAGTTATAACACTAAGCTTCCAGAACACACCTAGATACACATTACTAAATCAAGCAGCTACAGAAGAATATACAAACGCAGTTGTGTATCTTGTTATCTGAGGAAGCAGGCAGGCAAGCTCGCGTTTCCAAAATCATCACTGGTTGCACTGGGATTGATGATGCTGTGCATTTCTGACTCGTTTTCTACTGTGTGCAAGATAGCTCTATCAAAGAGCTATCTCAGCTATGTACCAGAACAAAACTCATTTGTGTGTCTGTCCTGTGTATGCTGCCATCTGGTGCCACTTCCTATTTATTGCAGTAATCACTGACTACTCTCTAATTTCAGAGATTAACAGCAGCAAAAGGAGAGTTGACAGTCTAATTTGTACCTATAAGGAATGTTACAAGGTGCCTCATTTTGAAAAGTATGTTATTAAAATCAAGTTGATGACTTTGAATGATAGTTCTACCTCCAGCATCTTAAAAAAGGGAAGTCATTTGACTTTATTTTTGTCAGTCTATTGCTCCTTCGGGAACTCGGGTCGCTCTCGAGCCATCCCGGCTCGGGTCCCTCACGGGATGAGACTCCCCACTCCGAACGGGAGGCCCTGAGA